TCGTCGCCGCCGTCAGCAGAATCGATACGCCATTGCGTCGCGACGTGCCGACGAGTAAATCGCTCGTTTGACGATGCCAGCCATGCTGGTGGTCGTGCTCCAGTGATGCGATAATATTTTCGCCGGACGTATCATCGCCGACATCCTCGTTGTTGTTGACGTGCGCGGTGGCGCGGCGTCCCGATAGCGATCGTCGGCGACGCCAGTAGCGACAGCGACGACGACGACGAGGAGGAGAAAGAGGAGGAGGAGGAGGAGGAGGAGGAAGAGAAAAACGAGGTGGAGGAAGAGTTAAGAGGAGGAAGCTCGCGTTGGCGCGTTCGGCGGGGAACGTCGTCGACGAGAACGCGGACGCTGATAACATGCACTGTCCACGACACCAGTGCGCGGTGCTCGATTGACGGATCAAGAAAGATGATAAATAGAAAAAACACTCGTGTATACAGTGATAATACTTGGACGTGAAAAATAAATAGACAGCGCATACTTATATATATATATATATATAAAAAAATATATATATATATATTGTGTGTGTGTATGTGTGTATATATATAAATCATGTGCCATTTCTCATTGTCCGTAGATTGCGTTCGATAAGACTGTAAGGTAAGACTCTGCTATGGATCGTTGGCCCATCGTGTATTCGTGTGACCGTGCTGCTTTCGTCGCGCATTGACTTTGCGGTTGCGAGAGAACTTCGCATTGAAAACCGCCGTCGCCGCCGTAGGAAGAGGCGGTGGTGATAAAGAAGAAGAAGAAGAAGACGAGGTGAAGGAGAAAGAGGGCAGTAGCAGAGAGAACAAGAAGGGAGTTCGCGACAGAATCGGAGGGAACTCGCTCGCGGAGATCGGAGAGGAGCAGGTTCTCTCGTTCGTTCGGAGGACGGCGCTCGCTGCGTACGATCTCCGCGAAAGCACGCACGAGGAAGAAGGAGAGAGAGAGGATCGCAGACAAAGAGGACGACGAGCGACAGCGGCTTTATCATGTTATACGTGGAAGTGGTGGCAACGCGGGATCGCGGGTCGCGGCGGTAGTCGCATCGTTGTCTTCATCGGCGACGCGTAATGCAGCGGCGGGAGGGGCGGATATAGGAAGGAAGGAAGGACGCGCGAACGGATTATACGCGTGTAACTCGGCCTCTCGTCACTCGTGCCGGACGAGAGCGGAGCGAAAGAGAGTGCGTGTGTGCGAGAAAAAGAGAGAAAGAGAGAGAAGAACGACCGAGGAAGGCCTCGTAGAGCGCGGGTTAGAAAACCCCGTTCCAAGAGGATGGACTCGTATCTGTCTCATGGCAGAACACGCGAGGAATGCAGTGGAGGCCGTGCTACTATGATGACTACGGCGACGACGACGGCGACGGCGACGACGACGACGACGACGACGACGACGACGACGCGCTGGGTCCGAGTAACATGGAAGTGGAATCGCGAGGAAGCCGAGTTGTCGCGCCAGTTGTCGTGCTAGTGCCCGATCCCGCTGCTCCGTCATTCGCGACATAAATAAACTCGTGGATGGTCAAAATATAATATATATTGTGTACATCAGTTGCATGTATATAAAGCGATATCGAGTGCACTGAGATTCACCGATGTTCACGTTGAAGTGCATACGTTGAAGCGGTGATTGCGCTTGTACTCCGAACCTTAGTTGTCTATTTTCCTCCGGCAGGTACGCTTGTTGAATACGCGTGCACAATGGAGACACTATTGCCAGGCAGCACTGCCGCTGGCCAATCATACAGTCCGCAGTTGAAGACCGTCCTCAAGACCTATCAGCTGTCAGCCATCAAGAGCCTACAGGGTCCCAGCTCGGCTCTGCTGGGCATGGATTGTAAAGCTCTGCTGCATGAGCAACAATCGTGCTTCTCGCCACCCGCTGTCAGTCGTCCGGTAGCCAACTGTGGTCTGGAATCGCCCGTTGAGTCGCAACCGTCAAAGGACGTAATCGAGAAGGAGATTCGCGAGACGTCGGGACGCACGTTGACGCCCGTCTCAAAGGCACCCCGCTCGTCGGAGGACTCGGACGAGGATCATCCTGCGGTGGATCGTTCGAAGGTCGTGTGCGAGAAGCGCGAGCTCGAGTTTCAGATACCGATACTCACAGCACCTGATCAGAGTTGCTCCGAGAGATGCGAAACGATCCTTGAGGGTGAGAGAATATCGTGCTTCGTAGTGGGCGGCGAGAGAAGATTATGCCTACCGCAGATACTGAATACGGTGCTGCAGGACTTCTCTCTACAGCAAATTAATCAGGTGTGCGACGAGTTGCAGATTTACTGTTCACGTTGCACCCGGGATCAGCTCGAGGAGCTTAAGCATTCCGGTATCCTGCCGCGCAACGCGCCGTCCTGTGGTCTCATCACCCAGACCGACGCCGAAAGGCTCGTCAGTGCTTTGCTATTACGGACAGAGTCCTGTGATCCTTCTCAAATCGGTCCAGCACAGGACTGTCTTGAGAAGAAAACGTGTAAGAGCGAGGAGGAGGAAGAGGCGATTGTTAAATTTAAAGTGTATCATGAATGTTTTGGCAAGTGCAAGGGTATCTTCGATGCGAAACTGTTCGAGACGGACGATTCAGTGTGCATTGAGTGTCTAGAGTGTGGCTACCAATTCTCTCCTCAACGCTTTGTAAGACACGCTCATAGATCTCTAGAGAATCGCACCTGCCATTGGGGTTTCGATTCCGCTAACTGGCGGTCGTATCTTTTGCTTTCTCGTGATCAGCAACACTACAACAAATCGCTCATCCTTTTTCGGGAGCTGAAAGAGAGGCATCTTGTGCTAAATTCCAAGCGAAAGCTAGAGGTATTGTCACTTAAGTTTTGTCTTTAAAAATAAGAATATAATTTTAATGTTAAAAATATATATATGTATATTAAAATAATATATAAAATTAAGTCTAATATCACTTGATCTTAATATATCTGAAAAAGTATACAAGTCTAAATATTCGTTTTAGCTGAGACATGAGCACGAGAGATTGGTCAAACGCACAAAGAAGGAAATAGGAAAGGACGATTGCGCTGGAATCTACAATGGCAATGGACTGGCAATGTACCATCCTGTATCCCAAATTGCTACTGATTCGTACTTGCAAATGCAATGGGCGGTTTTCGAGCTCGCTGCCAGAGGAGCAGCCTTTCAGCCCTGGAATGCTACGGGTAATTGCAAGCACAGGGACAAGTAAGTATTGTTTACGTATATTTTGTCAGAGTCATGCACAGAGGCGACAGTTGAGATGAGGATCGCCTTTGTCAACAGTTCATCGTTGGTGCCTGCATATCTGAGTCGAGGTCCACCTGTATTGCAACATCCGGAGCGAGTCATTCCGCTTTCGGAGTGTGAGCGTTTCGAGCCGCATTTTCAACCTAATGTGGCGTTGGCGCCTATACCGGCACCCGCACAGATAGGTCAGATACCGCCACCTTCGTCTGTTCATCAGCAACGACGGCATCACGAACATCGCCGTCACAATCATCACTCCTCAAGTCCCACGTGTGAGAAACAGGAGCTATTGTCCGTCAACGTTAAAACGGAGAAAACGTCGCCAAGTCAAGCGCCGACAATCGATTCTTATCCTCTGTACTACGTTTCCGAGGAAAATCAGAAGGAGGCGGCGTCGCCAAAAGAAAAGAAGGAGAAGGAAGGTGAGGAAGAGGAGAGCAGTGCAGCGGTGACATCATCCACCGTGAACGTGGAACCTACACCACTGGCGACCTCTTCTGAGGTCGGTACCTCCTCGCCGTCGGAAAGCGATTCCGACACGGACGCCACCGCGGCGGCGGATCTCGAGGAACGTTTGAGGATCCTGGACGTGCCACAAGACGTGATAGAGTTGGCACGTCGCGTGGTGTTGGAGAACGCACAGCTGCGACGTCATCGACGATCGGACGCTCGTGAAATCACCAAGTTACGGAGTCAGTTGCACATGCAGAAATTACAACAGCAACAGTCCGCCGTCGTCGTCGCCAACGATAAGAGTGATGATCAGGACAAGAAGGAGGACGCAACAATGGCAACAGCGACGGCACCGCGTTCTAGCGCAGCTGACAGCACCGAGGGTGACAACGAGGAGACTGACGCTACAAGTTTACCATCGAACAATAAAGAGTCTGAGCCCGTCACCGTGCTGACGACTAATAACGAGTCAGATCAGTGATTAGGATAACGCGGAAGTTATTTAACACATACACACACACACACACACACACATACACACACATACACACACACGCACACACACACACTTACAACTGCTCAGCGATTACCGCGACGACGCTCATCCGTTGGCCGAATAAGCGTGCACTGAGTTTAGTATGTTAGGTACATATATACATACATTTACGATTCTAAACTAAACGATAAACTGTCTAGATTTTTTGTGATACGCGACAAGCCTTTAAACGTTATCGCAGATAATTCGGAGTTTTTACTAGATAAGTAAAACACGTGCTGCATCCAACTCAAAACATCGGGCTGATAGAGTCCTCGCGCTTCATACTCATGTCTCGCGAGATTCGAACCGACCGACCGATCACTGTCAGCGAAAATAGCTTGCCTTCCATGTTTGTCGAGCGCGATACGTCCACTTCCTATCTGCATTTTAGTATTTCGCGAATAACGAAAAATGATAACGCGTTCTTTTTCCGAAATGAATTTCGGCTTTTTGAGTCTATAGAGCCGCGAAGACAGACGTGTTAATAATTTGTCTCTTAGGCGGTGTTACCGGATTTCGAAAGAGTGATACTCCCGGTGGGAGATGTGGCAAACCGATGCCACGAGTTGGACAGTCACGTCAAGTATACTTATGTATCGATCGATTTTTTTTTATTAAAATCGAATGTAGATATTGTATTATATCGATAGAAGGGTGTAGATTTAATGGATTATACCGCGCCAATAAAACAATTACATCTAATGGGTATTACGATGAGACACATTTCGTATATATTAAATATATATGGGATGCAAAGCAAGATTTTTACTATATAATTTTGATCCATAAATATATAAGTAATAAAAAACAATGCATAAAAGAATGCGTGTGAGAGATAGAAAACGACTTCTAGTGCGAATGAATTTAGATTGCTTCCCATTCACATTTTGGTAGTCATGCTCGCATAATGTAAATACATTGTGGCATCATAGATGTTTATAATTAATTACAGTATCATGACGAAAAAAAATGCTAAAGTACAAAAAACCTAGGTGCTATATTGTTATTCTAGGTATGCTGTAAGCATAAACCTGGGTGTGTTCCAGCAGCTCGTATTACATTGTAATGCCCAGAACGCGTTATATACACGTTCCAAAAAACCGAATCGCTACGACTAAAATCTTGTGATTAACGCGTAAGTGGGATCTGCTTTTTTATTTAATGAAAAAGCTCGGTCCAAGCCTAATCACGTCAATAAAAAAGGAGGGAAGAAAAAAATTTGCGTTCTTAAAAATTATTTATTTGGTACGTATACAGTAGGACCATAACTCGAATCAGTTGTTGATAATAACGTATTCGATTTCTTAAATTTCCAATGATTATTATATGATTATCTTTTACATGATTATCGAATCGTTTTATTTATTGACAACATAAAAGAAGTAATTTCTACATAATAGATTACTTATCGATCGTCAACAATCCATAAGTATAATCATGTTGTTTTCTCTTTTTTTTTCAAAATTATTCTAAATATTTTTTTAAAAATGTATATGCTTCTTTTTCGAAATCTAAAAATGAAATGAGAATTTTATTGATTGGATGTACGTGTAGATACGTATATAATTTCTACTGTATATAATTTCTGTTGAATACAATGTTTTGTTATTAATATATGCTATTTTTTTTTACGAAGATTCGCAGCTGGGGAACCCATCTCTTTAATATATATATATATATA